CCCCAGTGGTCAGTGAGGCTCAAATGTGCAGGGGGAGGCCCTGGTGGTCAGTGAGGCTCAAATGTGCAGGGGGAGGCCCTGGTGGTCAGGGAGGCCTGGATACACAGGGGAGGCCCCAGTGGTCAGTGAGGCCCAAATGTGAGGGGAAGGCCCTGGTGGTCAGGGAGGCCTGGAGCTCTGGATGTGTGTGAGAGGCCTAGGTGGTCAGTGAGTCCTGGGGAGGCCCTGATATATAGGGGGAGGCCTGGATGTGAAGGGGAGGCCCAGATGGGTGGGGGAGGCCTGCAGGCCCCGGTGGTCAGGGAGGCCGAATGTGCGGGGAAAGGCCCTGGTGGTCTGGGAGGCCCAGATGGCTGGGTGAGGCCTGCAGACCCCAGTGGTTGGGGAGGCCCCTGTGTGTGAGAGGAGGCCTGGTGGTCAGGAAGGCCTCGGCCCGGATGGTGGGGAGCAGGGCACAGGAGGCCCAGGCATTAGCAGATCCACGCCCCCAGTTCATCCACTAGAAATCAGTTTTTGGACCCCTCACTTCCGAGCTGTTTGAAATTGGGTCTCACCAGACATGGTTGACGGCCTCCCTGGTGGCGCCTGTTTTCTCAGCGTCTCAGGGCCACGCTGCAGTTCCCCAGCTCGTCCTGAGAATTTCCGTGGAGCAGGCTGATTAGGGGTGGGCATGCAGGTAATGGGACACCTGTGCAGTCCTTACAGGAACACACGGGGAGTTCACCCCCGTGTCAGTAACACAGTGTTAACAAGGTCAAGGTTTCCAGTCAGGTCCCCTTACGGCCTAATTAGGGATTTGAATGGATTGGAACACTGGTTGAGTTTCAGTTCAGAAGCTATTTTGATGTTACAGTTCAATCATTTTGGAAAATACAGATTCTGTTCTGGCTCACACGGGCTCGTGAGGGTGTGTATGTGTGTGCATGTGTTTTAATCTTTGATTTAGTTCATGGTTCAGTAACAAACTTAATACATTTTTCACCCATCATCAAATTAACAAAGATGAAAGAAATAATGCTCGGCCCCAGTGCAGGATGTTAGATGGGTGCACGTAATGCAGGGCCGCTGGGAACATGAATTGGTACCTTTCTCAAAAGCAACTTGACATGACCTGTCAAACGCCTTCAAGATGGTCAGACCCTCCAACCCAGCAATTTCCACTTGCAGGGATTTATCATAAGGACATAATCAGATGTGCAGAAAGATTCCAGCGCAATGATGCTTTCTACCACATTATTTACATCATGGAAAAAAATTCGAAGTCACCTAGACGTGTGACAATAGAGGTTTGGTTGGTGAAAATGAAATGGAAGCAAATGTTTAAAATGCCTACATAACCCAAGGGAAGTATTTACAAATGTATTTTCGGTGTTTTGAGGTGCAGTCGGTTTCTTTCCGACTCACGGTGAAGCCAAACAAAACACCGCTGATCCTAGCCCTCGTCACGGCCATCACGGCCACGGTAGCCATCCGATTCCTGAAGGTCGTCGTCTCTTGCTGACCCTCTCCTTGTGTAAGCGTGATGTCCTTCTGCGGGGGCTGGCCCTCCTGATGACACGTCCAGAGTCCGTGAGCCCACGTCCTGCCGGCTCTGCTTCTAAGCATTCTGCGTGTCCCTATTTCAAGGAAGATGTACTCGTTCTTCTGACAGGTCATGGTACATTCACTGGTCTTTGCCAAAACCATAGTATGTTGCCAGCAGGGAAGGGAAAATGTTAATTAAAACCCTAACTGACTTATAAGCTGGGTGGATCCTGTTAAAAGATGTGCTGCTTTAGAAGTCGACACTTTAGTTCAGAGACACTCGATGGTTTGGGGGGATAGAGTCCCTCTTCTGACTAATATTTGAGTGCCACTTGGTGACAGTCGTTGGGCCGTGGTGAGGACTCACAGCCTCGTGGGAAACAACAAAACAACAACGCACGTGGAAGTACCTTGTTACTCGCACTGAGAGAAACATGTTAGAATCACTTATTTGATGCAGGAACCTGAGGAGGTGGTAAGAACCGTCCTCACTGTTGTGGTTGTCGCTGCCTGCCAGCTAACCCTGCCAAATAACCTTACAGAGCACCGCAGACCTCCTCTATGGGGCATCCAGTGCTGCCATCTTCCCCAGGCGTCAGCGGCTAACACAGGAAACGTTTGCTCCCAGTTCTGCAGTCTGGGTTGGGCCAAGCCAGACGGCTTTTCTGCTGGCCTTGCTGGGGCTCACACACAGGGTGCATTCAGCTGATGGGTCGGGGGGGGGACCGGGATAATCCGGCTGGTGTCTCTCTCCCCGTGGTCCTCCACATTTCACGGCGGACCCAGAAAAACTCAAGAGTGGGCACGCAAATGGTTATAAACCATCAGGCGAAGCGTCTCCTGTTAATGCTTTAGCTAACGAGGAAGCTTCAAAGAGGAGAAAATGATGTACAGCATTTGGTAGAAAAATGCACAGCATCCTTAGAGAATTACACAGCTTTCTTCCCCGTAAGACAAGGAGGGGGAACTGCAGCTTTGGGGAAACCCTGGACAAATGGGGTGGTCACTGATGCAAGCCAGGGCTCTTTGGGCAAGTCGTCACAGTTGCCGACCTACAACCCTCAGCGACACTGTGAATCTAGGTTAAAGATTTGCATGTTCAATTTCCGTCCTCCGAGTGGAGCTGGCCACCGTCTTCTGAACATGCCTTTTGCATGTGGTTAGCATGT